AAAAGCAAACGGCAGACAGTGTGGCAGAAACTCTACGAAGCTGCTCTCGGCCTGCGTTTTCTTCACCAGCGCAATATTATTCACAGCGACCTGAAGTGCAACCAGATTCTCGTTGGAGAAAATGGTGAAGCGATGCTGACTGATTTTGGATTGAGCTATATTTCGGATGAGTCGAGACCGAGTGGTGGTGTCAAGGGAGCTGTGCGTTGGAAAGCACCTGAATGTCTACGTGCCAAAAACCCCAGCGAACCAACCAAAGAGGCAGATGTGTACTCATTTGGAATGTGTGTGATTGAGGCGGTGACAGACAGATATCCGTGGGGCAACTTGCTAGATTCGGCAGTCATGCATCACTTACAGAAGGAAACGTTTCTAAAGCAACCCCCGCAGTTTTCTGAGGCACAGTGGGTGTTTGTAAAGTCCCTGTGTGCTTTTGATCCACTACGACGTTTGACTATGGACGCTGCAGTGAAAGAGGTGAAGAACTTCGCGCGCCAAGAAAAGAAGAAAGTCGGGCATGAGACACCTTTTACCTTCGAACCACAACCAGAGTCGGAATTGGAGGACAGCGATGATTCAGAATCAGATTAAGCTGGCCGCCGTTCCTCGCAAATACTCATATTGAGCTGCAAAAAAATGTTTCTCCTTTTCTTCACCTACCCTTGAATATATCTTCAGTTACGACTCAAACACAATTTTTTCATCCAGCAGGCGCTCGATCTCCTGCTTGGAGCGACCGAGGACATCCTCCAGTATTTGACGTGTGTCTTGCCCAAGCTTACGTCCTGCAAACTGCGTGACACCCGGTGTGTCCTTCAACTTCGGCAAAATCGCAGGCACCTTGAGCTTCCGAGTGCTATCACCATCCGGAATTTCCACTTCCTCAAACATGCCGCGTTGCTGGTACTGCGGGTCTTTCACCATATCTTCCACAGAGTACACAAGACCCACGGGCACAGCAGCTTTCTCCATCACTGACACCACCGTGTCAATATCCTGAGTAGCAGTCCACGCCGCCAAAGCCTCGTCGATCTCAGCTTGGTGCTCGACACGATCACCGTTCGTGCGGTACTTGCTGTCCGTCGCCATGTCTTCACGACCAATAGCGTTCATGAGTCTTACGAACAACGAGTCGATGTTGGCTGCAAGGACGACGTTCTTCTTGTCCTTAGTGACGTACGTATTAGAGGGCACGATACCCGTGATAGTTGACCCCGAGCACTCGCGGACGGAGCCTGAATAGTCATACTCAGGGACTACCGCCTCCATCAGGTTAAACATCGACTCGTAGATAGCCACGTCCACCACTTGTCCTTTGCTGTTCAGTCCACCTCTTTCACGACCAAGAAGAGCGATCACGATTCCAAGAGCAGCATGGATACCAGCAATGGTGTCGCCAACGCTAAGGTTCGGACGAACCGGTGGACGATCAGGAAAGCCATTTACATAGCGAAATCCACCCATGGCTTCACACACCGATGCAAAACCCGGTCTCGAGGAGTACGGTCCATCCTGACCGAAGCCTGACACCCGCGTGTATACCAGTTTCGGGTTGGTCTTCTCAAAGTTGTCAGGTCCAAGTCCCCACTTCTCCATACGACCAGGTCTGAAGTTCTCAATGAGGACGTCGCTCTGTTCAATGAGCTCTTTGATCAGCTTCCGACCTTCCTCCTTCTTCATATCGATAGCCACCGAGCGCTTGTTGCGTCCGAGCGAATACCACCACAGAGACGTCTTGGTCGAGTCTAGTTCGCGGTAGTCGCGTACCTGATCACCCGTCGGGGGTTCTACTTTGATCACATCGGCGCCAAAGTAGCTCAGGATTGTTCCAGCGAAAGGTCCAGCAATGAGGTGGCCACACTCCACGACTCGGATACCTTTAAGAGGCAGAGGACGGCTGGTGTTTGTCGATGCACCAGGAGTGATCGTCGTCACGGAGCGACTCGCAGGGCTTTGCATCAGTCTGGTTAGACCTGCAGTACACAAAGAACCTCGTGGCAATGACGAGAGCATTGGTGGACGCATGAGAATGCAAGGAATGGAGACGATACAAGCGGCACGAGGCGAAAACTGAAGTGATCGACGCACTTCCTGCTGCGCAAACGTTTTTACTAGTCACTGTTTTGAACTTCAACTGCATGTGTATGTCACTAACACGAGGTAGTGAGACCTTTAAGGCAGGATTGCTGGTGCCTGGAGAGCGTAGTAGCTGTGCAGACGATGAGTTAGTACGCGAGCGTATCAATTGGATCGAGTATTTGCGTGTTAAGGTTGTGCCCCACCTGATGTTGGCGGCGTCCGTGAGGCACAGGAATGTTCGCTTGGTAGCGATTGAGATCCCCATTGGTTCATGGACGTCGGCGCATTGCTGCAACTCAAGAAGCCTGCCACAACGATATATCCAGTTAGCTTCATGCGGTTACAGTGCATTAGAGGTGGAATGTACCTTTTGATGCTTAGTGTTGGGGGCATGTGGGAGGAGACGGTGGGAAGTACTAGGAAGCAGCTCCATGTCGGCTGCTCGTTATCGCTGGCGCGATTCCCTGCTTTCCGCTTGCGTTTGCGGTCGATGCGTTCTTCTTGAAGACTCGTGGTCAGCGCATAGCCATAGATCACATCGATTGCTTCGTCAGAGTCCGTCGAGATGCGAGCACCACGCACGACTTGCCACTCGCTGAGACCACGCTCGACCAAGAGATCGCTCAAAACCTGCAGACAGTGGGCATGATTTTAAGTTGAATCAACACGGCCGAATGTTATGAATGGATGTTCAGACCTCTTGAGTTCCGGGTGCAAAATGAGAAGTGTCCATGCTGCCCCCTCACTTTTAGTTCTAAATGCAAAAATGATCAAGTTGTGTAAGTATCGGCAATTTTGGATTTTATTTCCATGACAAGCTTAAGCTTTGTAGCAACGTACGCATCGTCTCTCAGCAGCCTTAAACGATTTTCTTGTCACGATACAGCTCGAACAGCGGCTTATGCTGCATCTCGCCGATCACGAAAGATAAAGACGCGTTCTTGTAGTGGTCGCCGTTGGCAGACAAGTTGTAGATCACATCGTCCAGCAACACAGCCTTGCCTGAGAACGTTCCTGTGTGTGTGCGTTTAATACAATGAGCCTTGGTAAGCGTACAAATAAAAGTGGAGTACTATCAAGACTTACCGAGGGTCATTTTGACGTGCGAGAAATGTACGTGCAGGTGATAGTACGTCGGTTGATAGTGGAAATACATGCGTATCGAGCTGGGTTCGACTCCAAATTTTGTGTTCAATACCTGCAGACAAGTGTTTCTAGTCGAAGGCAAATCGTTAGTGTTAGATTATCAGCATTGGCAATCAGGAAGCAAAAGACGTGAGGAATGTACCGAATGTTGTGCAGTAACTTCAAATGTGTGCCTGTGAGATCTCGAAGCGATCGAAGTGATCGATCGTGCACGATTGCCAAGCAGTAGAGCGACTCCAACTAAAACAAAGTTCACAAAGCGTCATAATACTGCTGATATACCAAATAAAACGCCTTGATAGCAGCTCGTACATTAGAGGGGTCCGACCACTTGAAGTCAGGCAGCAAAATGAATCCATCTCGAGGGTCTGCATCTTCGCAGATGACCCGCTCAGTCTCGCTTTTGCTGGAAGCCAAAGAATTGTCAGTAAACATTCAAATTCTACCCGATAAGGTAAGGTAACTAATTTACACTTACTGGTCCAAGATGTTGTAGACCCACTCAATGTTCTCCACCGGAATACTGTCGATGTATGGCTTTGTGATCGTTTGGTACGTTTCCTTGGTCTCCACTACCATGTAAAAGTTCTGGTCCGTGTGCTTTTGTATATGGCGTTCTGTCGCCGGGTAAATCAAATTCACCTGGGTAAATATCCAAGATATAACAACGTGTTACTCCATCATCACGCATGCCACTTTCTGCTGCAGCCTGCTGCGCACCTTGTAGGGTTTGAAGTCACGTGACACGTCGCCCTGAAATGTGCTGTAGATGTCATTCGTAAGAATTTTGTGTAGCGACATTCCCGTCAGCAATTGACCCAAAGCTCCCACGTCCATGGCCGCTGTCTGAATAACCACCACCGCCGCTTGCTGGAGTTTGTCGCTCTTAAAATTACCCAGTAATGCCAACTCCGTGTCTGTACGCTTGAGCACACGCTCAAGATTGAAATTGCGAAGCATCTTCGTCGTTCCGAGACCCGCCAGGGACATTCTCCAGAATACGAAGGCGCTCAACAGCATCACTGCCAGTGCAAGAACGAACTGCACCGACCACAACATCTGCAGAAGCTCCATTGTCAACCAGATCTCCAAATTCACGAATGATATCCAACGTTAAAAAACCGATTGGATGAAAGAAAAAGATAATGACAACTTCAACTTGTTTTAACATTTTTAGATGTGACAAAATGTCAATTACAGCAAGTAGGTGGCCGCATCGTCCACAATGCGAGCCACTTCGTTGACATGTTTTTGAATAGTATCAGCATCATCGTTGAACGCGATGGCGTCCGAGATGCCCGGGAACGCTGCTCCAGCATAGCCTTCGTAAAATCCGGGTCCAAAAATGACGTGTTTGTACCACGGACGATGAGGTAGCCCATCGTTAGTGATCAAGTGACGCTCCAACAGCACCAGCTTCTCGTTCCACGAGTGGAAAGCGTCGGAGTTAGCAGCGAGAGTCTCATTTGACATGAAGGCGGCGAGCTGCGCGTGGAAAGTGGTAGCGCCAGAGGTGAATCGAGCGATGGCCTTGTGTAGCTCGCCGAAGTCCACTCCTTGTCCAGCAACTTGCTGTTCGAGTCCAGCCAGATCCTCCGTCATCACAAACCCATACGTAGTGAAGTCGAATGGCAAAATCTGGTCGTCAGCAAGTCGTAGACCCAGCAATCCCCACCATTGCGCAGTGGTGATGTGAGTGGTGTAGTTCGGGTCTGCATACAGTTCTGAATACCTTACGCTATCCATGGAGCTGTGGTAAACTCCATACGGAGCACGCGACAATGAGAAGCCCAAGTTGGCTGAAATGATACCAAGATGCTGATAGAACGCCGTGTAATCTGAACCAGACCCCATGAAGTTGATCAAGTGTGCAGGGCCAAGTGTTCCGTCGCTAGCTCCGTGAAGTAACTCGCGGTGAGCTGCTGCTTGCTTGACCCATTGCTCGTACAGTGTCTTCTCCGTCTCGTTACCATGGAACATGTTTGCCGGTACGCTCTTCGCTGTCTGATAGAGGAACTCAGCAATGGCTGGACTGGCACTAGCACTGACCAACGGACCCATGATAGAGTCCACGTTGAGGTACGCAACGGCTTGCTTCCTAAAGCGTTCAGCATTTTCCTCGGCATACTCGGTACTGCCTAAGAGACCATACTCTTCGCCGTCCCATGATCCGAGAATTAGCGTACGTCGAGGCTTCCAACCTTGTTTCAGGAGCTCACCATAGCCACGAGCGATCTCTAGAAGAGTAGAAGAGCCGCTGTTTGGGTCGATTGCACCGCAGACCCAGGCATCACGATGGTTACCCAGCAGTACTAGTTCGTCCGGTTCTTCAGAGCCTTCGATGGTACCAATAACGTCCCAGATTGGTCCGATCTTGTTATCAATTTCAATGTCCAAGTTCACCACAGTTGCTTCGTCGTCGCCAATTCGGTAGCCATTCGGCAATGACAGACCTCCTTGCCACGAGGCAGGAGCTTCTCTACCTCCTAAAGACTGCAGAATATATTGCGCTTGACCGTACGATAGCGGCAGCGCTGGAATGTGTGGAATAGTCTCCACCTTTTCGTATCGGATGTGGAAACTACCCTCAGTAGAGGCCCAACCTGGCGTTGTCGGGTCACCGGCAGCCATTGAGAGGTATGTGAGCGAACCTCGTTGAAATGATCCCTCAGGACGCCACGGACCAGCCGGGTACACCGGGCCCTGCACAAACCCGTCCTCCTTAGGGTCCGAATAGATCAGCACACCGACCATACCGTGCTGTTCGGCGGCCATTGCCTTGAGGCCGCGGAAGCTGCCGCCATATCTAACAAGGGCGATCTTCCCTTCAAGTGTGACGTTATTGGCTTTAAGCCACTCGAAGTCATCTGGTTTACCGAAGTTTACAAACACTATGGAAGATGTGACGTTTCCAGTGGCAGCGTACGCCACGAATGGTGGCAATGCACTGTCATCGCTAGTGCACGTGTCACCAGGAACCGAAGCCTCCGTTAAATTCAGCTCGCGAGCAGCCTCTACAGGCTCCACGATTGCCAGGTGACGTCGAACTGGAGTCGATAGGAGCGTGTAGTACTCTTTGATTTCGGCTTTGATTCCGAACGACTCAAACATCTTGGCAGTGAACAGAGCGGTTTTGTAGTCCTGCTCGGTACCGCAACTGTGTGGGACGCTCGAGTATGTGTGCAGGTACTCGCGGATATTACGAGCATTCACGTTGTCCACAAACTGTTGGTGGAAATCAGGGACCGGGATTTCGGACGCGTTCGTGATTAACTTTGACTGCTCTTGGGTGCTGAGTCCAACACTAACGGGGCTTGACGTCGACTTCGTTACATATCCTGCAGCCAGCAGGACTAGGCCAGCGATGGCACCGATACGTAGCAATGCACCGAATCTGGAGCTAGAGGCATCGTTGGACACTGGCGATCGTGGAGGGCCGTCAAAGGTGCCGTAGATGTCGTCGTCGTCTGCAGGCTTTGCGAGCACAGGGCCGCGCGTTTTCTTGCTTGACGGAAAGGGGGCCATCGCCAGACTCAAATGCTCCTGGTTTAAGTGACGGGAATTCCGAAGTGCCCTGGTGACAAGTTTTCGCGTGGAGAGAACACAGTCTCAGTTTGCGAATCAATGTGATGAGTGTAACTGCTGGAACCGAAGCGGTGCGAACTTGAACGATGATTGGATGAAATTGGTTCGTTGGTCGTTTGAACGCCAGTGATTGGCGCACTGAGAGTTTAATTAAAGGTACATGTACTTCAACATTGACATTGACATCGGAGCTACTCGCCCATTTCCCGCTTCGCCTACGCAGACCCAACAGCAATCTAGCCGTCTGATGTTGTCTGAGGTGTCAGAGTGATATTGTGCGAAACCCAGTAGGATGGTATGATATGCTGGACTGCACGTTTTAAGTGGCCACGACGATACGGAGCATTAAGGTTAATCACTACGAGCTGCTGCAGCAATCAAAGGAATGCGCGGCCAGCACAGCAGTGACACGCAGTTCATTATGCCGCTTCTACAAGTTCTCCTAGGTTGCTCAAGTGAGGAAGTATATGACTTCGTGTCACCTTGTCCACCATTTATAATAGCACTCAAAGATTCTCTGCGACTATGTCTGTCCATCATTTGCTCACGCACTAGCACTGCCGGCTCCACGCGTTGTTTGTGAGTACAGGAGAAACAATGGCTGCATCATGCACTGCATTTAGCAAAGGTCCAGGTGAGTGGATAATGCCAGCAACACTATGTAATGCATCTAACTAACGGTTTTGGCAATATACGATGGATGCAGATTGAATTGAATAATCAATGTTTAACATGAACTCTTGGAGGATGCATGGAACTTTGCTTCTACTTACGCCACTCACGACATGGCGGCCTCGGGCCCTGGAGACGACGGGAAAGACGGAGCGATATGATCCCATATCTTGCGAAGATCCATGTAGTTGTTCTCGACAATGCGGCGTCCCTCGCGCTCGACCACATCGCCATTGGCGTCCACGAAAATGAGCGTCGGGATCGTCTTCACGTCGTAGCGCTTCCACAAATCCTGTACCACGTCGCGCCGGTGGAACGGAACCGCTAGGAACGGTGTCTGCAGTAGCGAGTCGTGGAAGGCCACAGGGCTGCGGTCAATCGACAGCAGCACCACGTCCAGCTGGTCCTTCATGTGCAGCGACTTGTACGCGCTGAGAGTCATGTTGCGATGCACAGTCGCCAGTACAGGCGTGAAGGCTCGGCACGGGCGACAAGTGCTGGCCGTGAAGTACAGCCCCACCACTGTCTTGTGCACCAACGCCTCCTCGGTGGACGTCTCGCCGCGCCGCGACACCAGTGTACTGCCTAAAAGCTTCTCCAGGAGCGTCATTTTCGGTGGCTTAGTGTTTTTCTTCTTCTCTTGGGGATTTGAGGGGTTCAGAACAAGTTCTGCAGTGAGGGCCACACGACCGTTATTTTCCGCCGATGGAGGCTTCTCGTTCCGCCGATGCACTTATACTTGACTTTTGTATGCTAGTGAGATGGGCAACTTGACGTTACGAATGGCTTTATT